CAAATTTAAGCTCTCTGCACACTTATAAATAATCCAAATATCAGAATTTAGAAGGCAAGTAAAATATGTTGATTAAAGCATAATAGTTAATGCACTTCTTAATAGGACTAACTATGAAATCTACATTTTGCATTCATATGCATACATTTCTTAAGATTAATTTGTCTAAATTTAAATAAGTAAAAAGAATGGCGCTAAAATATGATACAACTTAATAGATTATTTGAACAACAATACATTATTTATAAAATAATAAAAAAGTTAGGTCATAAATGAAGAGCTAGGAATACTTTTAATACATATAAAAAGTACAAAGCAAAATTAATAAAATCTAAAAAAAAATAAATGATCAAGGAGACGACTAAATCTTGGAAAGTTAAATAAACGAAAAGCGAACGAATTAATAATATCGATTCGAGGTAAATTAGGCTAATATGAATAAAAGCCAATGTTGGGAGGGAACCAGGTGGGTAGGATATGACAATAATCTGAGGCATTAAAAGAAGTGAAAGATAACAAAATTAACCCTTGATCAATAATGGAAAGAAAAGGAAAGCCAGATGAACAACACGCTATACAATTTTACTTTGTTAATTAAGCCTTAAAGCAGGTATTCATCAAATCGTAAACTTGTAAAAAAGGAATGATGTAAACTAAAAATAGGAACAATGGCATATATCTACACCATAATAAATAATTCTAAAAGGATATTGATGAGGTCAATAAAGATTAAAGTAAAGGACTACAGGAAGCGTACCTTAAGGATATCCAAGCAAATTACTCCTTGACTATTTATATTACAATGATATATGCGAGTTTTAAATGTAACCTAAAATGCAATGATGAACAAGCACTTCTCATACTTTGGGAGGCTTAAATGGATATTCGGAAGAAAAATGAATATCAAGAAAGAATATTCCACCCTCGTAAGCAGAACCAGGTGGACCCAAAATTGTAGAAACCCATTCATACAAGTTGTCACCTTTTGGAAAAGCGCTACAAAAATATATTAGAGAGATGTACAAAATAGATAAACCTGCAGTTAGGGGGGGGATCAGCCATCAAATCAGCATACTCCTTCTGAATTCTAATACATAATGAGATGTGATAAGCCATTACCTTTTAAGACTAGTTGAGGTATATTTTGATTTCAAGGAAACTTGCTTGGGCTGAACAGGAGGGGTCGATGAAGAAGAGCCATTCGAATCAGTAGAATGATCCGTCGAAGACTGACTGTTAAAAGCAGCCTCGTGTGACCTCTTAGAGTTACACCTTCTCTTTCCTCCTGAATGAGACATCACATCTAATTAAATAATAATTGTGCTGCGGAGAGTAGGCATTAATATAAATTTATTATAGTATGAATGCGAAGCATATATAGCACGGCTTTATGGGATAAGGTTGGTCAGAACAGCGGCAAAGCTGTATACAAATTATAACAACTTTAATAAGTTATTAATCGGATTCTCAAAGCAAAAAATTAAATATATACTTATAATTACATTATGTTTAACAATAATATAATAATAATGTTTTTTAAATTATAATATTTAAAATATAAACACAAGTAATTGGACGAAATAAAACATTTGTTAATTAGGCAAATATTTAAGAAAGTTGCGCAGTTTTCAACCTGGTTGACTCGCGCCAACTCGGACTCCTCAGGATTACTTCCTTTAACCTATACTTATTGATCTTTAATTCTTTATTGTGCCTTTTTAAATTTTTCTAATCAGTTCAAAAAATTTTCTTGTTATTTAATTTTGCTTATTATGCTGAATATTTAATCGAATATACATATTCACTTACCTAAACCGGCTACATATAAATGTCTAATTTTCTTAATAATATCTAGATCTATTTAGGCATAATATGGCTCTATATTGTATTTAAAGCTTTACTTTAAAGGGATTGTTTGCCTAAGTCCTCATATTTTAATCCTTTGCCTTCTAAGCATTTCCCTCACTGACAATACGTTTAATTATAAGCTCTTCTAAAAAAGCTTACTTTATTACATTTTATAGTTATTGCTATCAAAATGCTTTTAAGCTTAATTTTTTAATTATTTGATGCTTTTTTTAATTTAAACTTAGATATTTTTGTGTGACTTTCCTATTCTAGTTCATTATACGAGATGCTGCATGAATAGAACAGTTACCGAATATTGTTTTATTCCTGCACATTATAATTTAAGTCGTTCATGAGAAAAATATTTGAATGGCGGATCGCCTTTATAACTTGATCGAATGACGCAGTGATTTACGTTTATATAGTAAATCTGTCCTTGCTAATCTAGATGTTATACAAATTTTAACTTTACCGTCCGTGTTTCTTTGAATATGTTATTCTGCTTCCACTTTAGTTGACATCTTTGACCTATCTCTTTTGGCTTTGTATTTGCCCAGAATATTTATTATGTTAGGGTTTGTGGAGTACATGTGCTAATCGCCTTGTTAATTCAACTTGCCATAAATTTAAAAATAGACAAAAATGTTGTGCTTTCTGAAAGTTGAATACCAATTTTAGATATCTTCACTAAACTAGGACTTGAGTTAAAAGCTTGAGGATGACTGGATT